TTTGCCATCGGCCCATGGTGCTTACAGTCCCCCTGTGGTACTTGCTGGACCGGACTGGGACTGACTGGACCTTCCGCTGACTGACTGTGGACTCACCGCCATCCTACCAACGTTGTACTGCTGTTGCACTGCGGTTTAGTCCACCACTTGCCTCGCCACTTGCCCACTTGCCCACTTGCCTATCTTCTAGAAGGTCTACATCTAAGTTTCCAGAACTCACTAAGACTCCTACGCTATAGACCTACAGATTGAGCCCTTGCTGCCTATGGACCTACGACAGGCCTACCAACTGCCTACGAATACACAGGTCACAGGTTCAATTCTCGGGGTCTACACAGATATTGTACATGGGTAGGGTGAGGTCTAGGGATCGAACCCTGTGTACTGCATCTGCTAATGCTAAAAGGTGAAAACCGTTTCACTCCCGCCGTCCTAAATTGGAGGTCCTCCGAGAAAATTTTAGTCCATGGCGAGACCTTTACCTTTCTTGTCATGCTCATAGGCTCTGACTATGTCGGGAGCAGTCTCTAGAAGTTCTACTTTCGTGAACCAGCGGTCGTCTTCCGGTTCCTGATAGGCAAACCGGACTTTATACTGTTTCTGGGGACGACCTCTACCTCCTGTCCTAAACACATCCTCTTCTACAATGCCCTCTATCAGGCTCTATGTCATAGCTCCCATCCATATCCGGTGGGATCATGGCTCTCCTGGAAGAAAACTGTTGACTAGTGACACACGACAGCAACTTTGAAGCGTGGAACACAGAGTATGTGTGGAGGTGTGCTGGGATCTCTATGCTATAGGACGGTCCATCCTCTCCGCCCTTGACTTCTAGAACCGGCCACGGTCCTTTATATGCAGGCAGTAACTTCTGCGAGATGTTTTCTTCCGGTGCAAACTCTTTTGCTTTGACCGAGACTAAGTCGCCTACTTGAAACTGTGATGGGCGACAGTGCTTGTTAGCTTGCTCTATCATTCTGTGCTGGGCCTTCCGAAGGTTCTCAACAACAGTGGATAGCTCCTTTTCGTGCTGTATCGCAAACTCCCTGGTACCGGGCGGAAATTTGTAAATCTGATCCCGGTTCAATCCTTCGAACGGTTTGCGCGGTCTAAAGGACTTGTGCAACTCATTGGGAGTGCGGCATGTGGATAGATGCACGCTGTTGTTGTATGGACTAGCTACCTTAGGCAACATCCACATGCCGCTGTTGTTGTATGGACTAGCTACCTTAGGCAACATCTCATCCCAGTTAATCTGATCTGGTCTAATGTACATGCGCAGAACTTGTTGTAGGATCTTGTTCATCTGTTCTGTCTGACCGTTAGTCTCGAGGGGACGGCCGGACAACATTAACAACTTAGATCCGTAGACTCTCATGAGTTCTTGCCAGTTCTGGCTGGTGAAACGACTATCTCTATCACTAACWATTGACAATGGGATTCCATTCTCACTAACCCAAAAGTCAAAGACTTTTGTATTACTAAATCTGTACATGCCTCTGCAGGCAAAGGAACAAAAGCTGCATAGTTACTAAAACGGTCGACTATGACCATGACTTGGCTCTTACCATGTCTGCTCTTTACTTGTGTGTCCATGAAGTCTATGGACACTGAGTCTCCCGGCTGATCCGGAATAGGCAAGGGTCTGAGAAGACCTAGGGACGCGCGTGTAGTAGATTATTTCCTCTGACACACTTTACAACTGCGGACATACTCTATGGAGTCATTCTTCATCCCTGGCCAGGTATACGCACGCATCAGGTTGGCTAATGTCTTTTGCCAACCGAAATGCCCTTCAGTATCGTGGCATTCCCCTAAAATCAAACTACGGATCTCTTCGCTGTTGGGAACGCACARGCRGTCRAACACATTARTCTTCTCAAACAACAACCCGTCTGTAGTGMKGTAATCTGGTTCAGTCTCTGGGGCCTCTCTAACTCTCTTTAGGAGGTCGCTATAGATAGGGTCCTGCGCATATGCTTGCCTCACTTTCTCCTGCAGGTCTCTCCCTATATCCAGATAGTGTACTACAGCTCCAAAGTAGTCTGATCTCATACTCAGAGCATCCGCAACTACATTGTACTTGCCCTTCACTGGTTTAAGCTCAAAGTCGAATTGGTCTATCTTTGCGGCCCTCCTAGTCAACTAAGGTGTCATCTTGGCCTGAGTCTTTAACCATCTAAGCGTTTCATGGTCCGAATACACTTTGAAGTGCCTCCCAAGCAGGTAGTGCCTCCAATGATCTAAAGCCTGCCTGAGAGCGTAGAGTTCTCTCTCGTACGTGGAGGCAGCAACCTTCTCACAGGGCATCCTCGCTGACATGAACTCTACGGGTCTATAGCCATTGCCGTCGTCTTGCTGCAACACGGCGCCTATCCCATACTGGCTCCCATCCGTGGTGACGACAACTGACAAAGACGGATCTGCAACTCTGAGGACAAGATACTCTATTAACGCGCGCTTTAACTTCTTAACGCAAACTTACAGTCTTTGTCCCATTTCCAGATTGCCTCTTTCTTTAGCAATCTGGGCAAGGGAGCGGCGAAAATTGACAAGTCCCTCACAAACTTCCTGTAGTAGTTAGCTAAGCCTAGGAACGACCGCAACTCTGTCAATGTGCGGGGCGTCGGCCAATCTCTAATCGCCGCGATCTTGTTGTCCTCTAGCTTGATGCCATCTCCATCTAATACGTGGCCGAAGTACAAAACTTGCGTCTTGGCCTACTCACACTTCTTCGCGTTGATCTTGAAGTTAGCCTCTCTAAGTTTCTCCAAGACCTGCCTCAGGTGACCCTGATGTTCCTGGAGGGTCTTACTAAAAACTAGGATATCGTCTAGATAGACTACTACAAACTTATCTAACCATGGTCTAAACAGGTCATTCATACAACGCTGAAAAGTACCTGGCGCGTTGGTTAGTCCAAAGGGCATCACTAYAAACTCATAATGCCCATATCTAGTACGGAACGCAGTTTTGTACCGATCATCAGGGTGGACTTCTATTTGATGGTATCCGGATTTTTAAGTCTATCTTAGAGAAATACTTACACTCCTGCACCCGATCTAAAAGATCGTCTATCCTGGGCAGCGGCTCAACATTTTTCACGGTGATCGCATTCAAACCCTTATAGTCTATACACATTCTCAACTCTCCTTCCTTCTTGGGGACAAACAAAACGGGTGCTCAAAAAGGAGATGAACTGGGCCTAATCCAACCTTTCTCAAGGAGTTCGTCTAACTGCTTGCGAAGCTCCTCTAACTCTCTAGGGGACATCCTGTAGACTGCACCCTTAGGAGTTCTACTGCATGACTCTATCTCTATCCGATGCTGGATGGGTCGCGACACTACTCCTGTCGGCGACTCAGTCAAGTCTTTGAATTCTTCCAGCAGCTTGGCAATTGTTAAATCTGTGGAACTATCCTTTTCCTGGGCCTCAGTGACAGGTCTTGCATAAACTACAAAGACCTGGTCTTCTAACTGCTCCTTCTTAACTAATCGTGCGAACGCAGGAGCACTGAGACAACAATGTGCCAAGTTGTTATCTACACCAGACACATGGAACAAGCGGGCAGTCTTAACCTCGCATGACAGACTAGGGAGCCTACACTCATGCTCTCTCAAATGAAGTGTAGCCCCTGCTGCCTCTCCCCAATCCATTCCTAATTCTATATCGAAAGGAAGGTCATCCTACACGAGGAGAGTCAGGGAATGGAGAACTGTCTCCACCTTGCCATCCTTCTCTAGGCGAAAATATGCCTGGACTCCATCTACATAGTCCTCAATGCGCATCGTGCGGTTGTTTGCGAGGACACTGACTATGGGGTCTACAAGCTTCTGGACCTTAGTTCTAGCCTCAGCTTCTTCAGCGCCCTACGACTAATGTAACTACGGCTAGCCCCTGAGTCTATAAGGGCCCCTACTCTTCTCCTGAACACCTCTACGTCTACCAAAATCAGTTGTTCCTTACTCTCTCTTTTCATTTTGGCCCAGGCTGGCATCCTCTCCTTTAACTCTTCTGCCACACCTGTGAGGGTTGTGCCTAAAGAGACGCTAACACAAACAGTCTCTGGACAGCTATCTAGGCACGGGCCTGCAACCTCTACCATAGGCTCATGTGGGTTGGGAGTGTCCTGTTCGTGCGCGCTCACTTCTCCACATGGATTAGAAGTAGGGGCAGTTGCAACCCTACTGGCAGCTGTCTTTTGACGACTGAGCAGCCCAACGGGCCTGTTTATACTTTGGACAAAATTTAATTACCTGCGCCGGGTCACCACAGAATACGCACTGACCCAGGTTCACGTGTTCCTGCCATAAGCGTTGGTCCAAGCCCAGATCTTCCCAGGGCCTGCCCTGCGGCAAGCCTGGGTGCCATCCTCCTTGAGGTGCTCTTCCACCTCCTCGCTGTGGGGACCGATTACCTTGGCGATTTAACGGAGGACCTTGACCCCTACCTCCCGCTTGGCTGTTTCCCTGTCCGCCAACCCCCTGTGCGCCCGGTCCTCGGCCTCCCATGGCCTGGCCCCTTTGGCCCTGGCCTCCTCCTCTACCTTGCGGCCTCCCTCCGGCTGCGACAGCAGCGTAAGACCTCCCCTGCCCTACACTACTGTAATCCTCCTCGGCCATATGTTTTCACAACCGGCTGTACGCGCGAGAGACCAGGCGAAGTTAACCGCTTCATCTTTGAGGGTCTGGAAGGCCACAAGGACTTTCTCCTCTACCAGAATATGCTGTAAATAAATGTAACTATTGACACTGGCCTCCCAGTTGTCAAAGTTCTCGTCCTTCTTTTCCCCGTACGCGTCTGGGAACTTAAGTTTCACTGGGTCCTTACGGGGTCTGGCCTCTCCTTCTATAGCGGCTGCAGCTTTGGCACCCTGAATGGCGCCCTCACAAAACTTCTCTGCATTGTCCCTCAACTGTTTGACTTCGCCCCCAATATGGGTGACGATTTCGCGCGCAAAATCCCTGAACCCGGACCGCATGGCACTCAACGCTACATCTAGGCTCCAGCTTGCTTGACGCTCCTTCATCTAGGCCTTGCTCAACACCTCTAAATAGCCCAATACTTTGTCCCACTTGGCCTTATCATCTGGCTGGGCCAGCACCTCTACTCTACACTCCTGCACCTTTGCCACTGCGGCGGTCATCTTATTCACTTCCTCTCTCCTCCTCTTCTTCTCCCTCTTCATTCTCAACTTCCATGCTAACTTTTGCTCGTCTTCCCTCTCTCTTCGTTCCATTGGGTCTGTCATGGCTGCTAGCTCAGCGGCCAGCGCAGCCTTCTTATCCTTAGTCACATAGGACTCCGCCTCCTCGTCTTCCCCCAACGATAAATTAGCGACCCACTCGCTGATCTTCTTCTCCAGCTTTGTATCTGTCTCCCACTTCATCGTGCCACCACTGTTCTCTTCTCCACTCCCAATTCTCATTCTCTCTTTCTCTTCTTCTGCTGCCGCTTCTGCTTCGACAGCATTCCTTTTTTCTTCCTCCTCCTTTTGTACCCTCTTCATCTCCTCCTCCAACGTCTTCATCTTCGCCGCTTGCTCGTCGGCGATAGCCTTTAGCTTCGCCTGCTTCTCGCGCTCTTTTCTCTCTTTGTTCTCTCTGACGAAGACGGCCATCTTTTCTTGCTGCTCCTTGCTATAGGGGTTAGTCTCTAGCCCAGTACGGGTCTCCACCATGGTGATAGGTGCACAATCAGGATGATTCCACTCCTCACCACGTAGACTCTAACCCCTGACTGACAAACCTGTAGAATCAATCTAAGAACCAACAGAATCCTGACAAGGACCCTGTCAACTATGGTCTCTAGCCTAGACCTATGCTATGGCTGTCACTACTGAACCAGTGGCTGATCAAGAGGCATTTAAGGAGATCCCCCGTAACTCCTCAAGAATTCTTTAACGTCGCAGACAGGACGACGTGATCAGTTTGGTTCTGCCTGTGCTTTCAGCCCACAACTCAGCCTTTCCAGCCTATTGTGCCACATCGAGCAGCCCGCCGGTCTGCACCGGTCCTTGGGAGGGTTCGTATCCCCCGGGACAGTCGAGTCGTCAGACACAGATCATCAGCCTTACTTGGTCTGGTAGGGGAGTGGTTCCAACAGGCCCTCAACACTTAAAGACGGTCTCCGTTTCAGCCTGCAGCTCATAGTTCGGACCCTCTTCACTGAAATTGAACAGACCTACCGGACAGTACCGGTCATTGGGCTCGACGAGTTGTTTAATGAGCGCTCGCCGCTCATGCCCAGGTCTCCAGATACCAGAGTAGAGATTAGTCCTACTAAGTCCCGTGCAGGTTTGGCAGCAAGGCCCTATCCTTCATCCATAGAGTTCTATGACCTAGGACAGAAGAGACTCAATGCAGAAAGAATAGACAGAGAGACTATACTCTGCAAGTACCAAGGGGTATGTGCACATCCATAGGGCAAGGGGCAGGCTAAGGGTTTGGCGAGATGTTACCAATTCCAGCTTGGTCAAAGTCTTGGTCAAAGTCTTGGTCAACGCCTTGGTCAACGCCTTAGTCAACGACCTTGGTCAACTCCGGTCAACGCTGCTATGACCCTCGGTCAACTTCGGTCAACTCCGGTCAACGCCTCCG